TGAGTGTCTGGTGGGAGATGGACATTATACAGCTGTGATGAGTGCCATGAGGTTGTTGGGGTCAGGGGAGCCTTTCCTGACGACTTGGAGTGAAGCTGTGACCTGAAGGGTGAGTGGATCCTGGCTAGGAAAAGGCAGGCAGGGAGGAGAGCATCCAGGCTGTAGCAAGCCCCCCACAAAAAGGCCCTCAGGTGGAGGGGGCAGGGTGCAGGTGATCAGAAGGGGAGGGCGAGGGACGTGTGGGATGGAGGGGGCTGGCAGCATCCAGGCTTAGCAGGTGCATGGGTAGTTACAGTGGGGTGCCTGATCTTCACCTTGAGAGCACAGGGAAGTCAGTGAAGAGAGAGAAGGGATCACATTTATACTGAGATAGGACCACTCTGGCGCCTGTATGGAGAATGAATTACACCTGGCCAACTGAGAGGCAGAGACCCTTGTAAGGGGCCCTGTGGAGTGGCGGTGAGACGTGGTGGGAAAGTGGACTCTAGAAGTACAGCAATGGAGAGGAGTGGGTGGAACTGGAAATACTGCAAAGCTAGACTTGACAGATGGGTGATTCATTAAAGGGGGTAGCTGAGAAGGAGGTCAGAATGACGCTAGCGTTCGGGCTAGTAGTGGTCGCTTTTCCGAGGCGGGGTTGTGGGAAGGGGAGCAGGTTTGGCTGGAGGATGCAGCGTAAGCATTCAGTTTTGGACACAATGAGTTCAAAATGCCAGTGAGACAGCTGCCAAATGGAGATGCCATGTAGCAGGTAGGTATATGAGTTTGCAGCTAAAAATAAATCTGGATTGATGACAATGTACGTATCATAGGCACCTCTTTTATCAGATGGAGTCCAACGGGTGCTTCTCATTCTAGCCAGCATAGTGTCATGAAGTGGGGGCTAAACCTAGAAGTTTCCACTGCGAGATCCATCTTTCTCTCTTTCTGCGACCTTCAGCAATTCATCTAACCTTTCTGGGCGCCCCTGTCCCCAGCATAAAATGGTGATGGTTATGTCTGCTTCAGAATACCAACAGCACATGTCTGAGGATCCATTAAACTGAAAATAAAACATGTGGGGCTCTTTGGAAATAAGAACTATGTTAAAACAAGGAGTTATTATAGTTGTGTGTAAGCCAATGACAAGCAGAAATACAGCCCCAAGGCTCAGTATTGATTTTGGTCCCGGTCCTTCCCGAAGCCAAATAAATCTGACATTCCTCCCCTCAGGTGCTGTCTGATCGGATGGCAGGTCTCCAGCTCCTAGCTCCTTGCCCCTGCTCCAAGGTTACGTCCTTTCTCGGCTCAGGCCATATCCAGCACCCCTACACCTGCCTGGGCTGCTCTGGCTGCCCTTCCCACCCCAGTAGGTGGTTACAGGGAAGATTCCAGTTGTGAAGTTGGAGCTTGGCCAAGAGCAGATGCCCTCTGATTAAACTGGGGATGGCCTGCCAGAAAAGCAGAACTTGGATCTGCAGAGCAAGGGGTTTAAGGGCAACCAAAGGAAACATCTCCAGACACTTTTCAAACGTTAGGGTAAATTGAGGTTTATGCAGTTTGCTTCAGTCATTCATGCAGGGAATCCCCTGGTGGTGCAATGGTTGAGAATCTGCCTGCCAATGCAGGGGATGTGGGTTCGATCCCTGGTCTGGGAAGATCCCACATGCTGCGGAGCAGCTAAGCCCATGCACCACACCTATTGAGCCTTCGATCTACAGCGTGTGAGCCAAAACTACTGAGCTTGTGTGCTGCAACTACTGAAGCTTGCGTGCCTACAGCACGTGCTCCGCAACAAGAGAAGCCACCGCAATGAGAAGCCCATGCGCAGCAACAAAGACCCAACACATGCAAAGAAAAAAAAATCATTAATTCAATTATTGGATATTTATTGAATGGCCACTGGATGTCAGGCTGTGAGTTAAGCCTGGGGATACAGGAGTGAAAAAGACATTATTTTTGTCTTCCTGGAATTAATATTTGAATTGGAAGAGAGAGAATCAAAGGGACAAAATACTCTTAAGGGAACAACCAAATGCAAGGATGGAGAGTAGTGATGTGGTTGGGATGGGGAGGGCCTATTTTAGATGGGTGGTCAGGGAAGGCTTCAATGAGGTGGTGTCATTTGAGCTGAGATCTGATGCCCAAGGAGCTGAGCTTTGAAGAGCAGTGAGAGGACCGTTCAGGCAGAGGGTGCAGTCAGTGCAGGGGACCCAAGGTGAGAACATGCTTGGTGTGTGTGCAAAGCCATGAGCAGGAGTGTGGCTAGAATCCAGGGAATCACGGCACGAGGGAAGGGGCCAGATGGTGCAGGGCTTTATTGATCACGGGAAGGAGTTTGGAGATTTGTTTCAGTGTCATGGTGAGCCACTGAGCAGTTTTATGCAAAGGAGTAATTTCTGTGTTAAAGATTGCTCTGACCCTGAGTGGATATGGGTTGGAAGGGAAAGAAAAGAGTCAATGAAACGAGCCAAGAAGACACTCTTCCAGGTGGGAGGTGACAGCCAAGTGGACCTGGTGGTGCCCGTGGATGTGGAGGATGAGGATGGACTGGAGGGGAGTCTGGAAGTGGAGGGGATCGGCTTGGTGATAGATGGGCAGTGAGGGGACTGGGATATGGAAGGACTGAAGATGATTTGTAGGTTTCTGACTTTAGCAGCCACATGGGTGGGGAGAATGTTATAGGGAGGACTCAGAGCACAGGTTCATGGAGGGAAATCTAGACTTCTGATTTGACCTGGTAAAGTTTGACATACCCATGGGGCACCCAGAGGAGATGTTGAGTATGAAGTTGGACATACAGCTGGAAGTTATCAGATACTTCTGGGCTAGAAATGCAACTGGACCATCTCAGCACAGGACAGGATGGGAACACCCAGGGAAAGGGTTTAGACAGAAAGGGCAGAGAGCTTTGGCTTGAGCCCTGGGAACTTCTGGTATATACGTGGGAGCGCCCAGCGGGAAGTAGGAAAGCCGGGAGGGATGGGTGCCACGAGAGCCTGAAGGAACCTCTCAGAGGTTAAGGCGGGGTGTGGGGGACCGAGGGCTGCCCACGCGGAGGAAGTTGCTGATGGTGACAAGTCATGTCTGTTAGTTAGTGAGGCTGAAAGACAGAGTGGGTGGAAAAATAAATTGGAGCGGAGAAGGCAGAAACGACACCTGGGGATGACTCTCTGGAGGAGTTTTGCCATCAAACTGGGCAGAGAAATGGGGCAGTAGCTGCTTACTTGGGTTTCTATGGGAAAGTAAGAAATGTACTCTCCATCACTTCTAAACCTCTCTCCTGCTCTGATACCCCCAGGATATGATATTGAAATCCCTAAAACATTCCCATGATAAAATAAACTGTGGATGACGTGCAGTCCCCAATATAATAGTTGTGACTCCACTCCTTTTCTCCCTTTTAAGAAAGCGTCTAGGATGTGAATCAGTGAGAGTAATGCTGGGATAAGCATCCGCTACTCTTTAGGAAAAAACTCATAATCCAACTTCTACACATTAAAGTACGTGCAACCAAGTTATCTGCAGTACAACTGACAGCTGACCGTATCGCACACGCTGGGGCATGTGGGCTGAGAAGCGTGTGGTTCCAGACTATGGTTGGGTACCATTCATTCATTCATCAAGTATTTTCTGAGCAGTTGCTTCATGTCATGAGTTTGGCTCTGGGCACGGGGGACAGTGGTGAACAAGCCAAACTTGACCCCTGCCCTCACAGAGCTCCAGGCAGCCAGGGACACAGACATGGAGTGAATGATTTCAAGCGCAGTAAGCTTACCGCTGAGAAGCATTGTGTTCTCAAGGAGAAAGTCACCAGCATCCTGGCCTCAGCCACAGGTTCAGCAAGTCTGCCTGGAGAAGCCAGGGTGACTAAGCCAAGGGGTGAAATCAGTGAGGCCAGTGTTGGGGGTGGGTGTGGTCAATGGCCCAGGCAGAGGTCAACACCCAGTGATGGATGGAACCCATCTCCACGGAGGCCCATACCAAGGTCAGCCTGTCCAGGAAGTCAAGGAAGGAGGAGGGGGTGGCATGAGAGGCAGCTGGAGAGGTGGGCAGAGCCAGCTGTGCAGGGCCTGGAGCCCTAGTCTTGAGTTTAGTCTTTATCAGAAAGCAACGTGAAGAGATTTAAGAGTGTGCTGAGGGGAGATGGGTGACTACATCAGCCCTGTGCTAAAAGAGCACCCAGCTGTCTGCGGAATGGGTTGAGATTGTACAGGAGAAAGGCAGCAGGTAGGTGTCCCCTGCACCCAGGCAGGGGCTGCACGAATGCCTTCCAGCCCTTTTGATCAGACTTGTCCGAGGATCTGGAAAGCCGATGGGGGTTGGGTCTCCTGCCTCTGTGTCCTGTCCCTGAAGCCTGGCCTGGTTCTTCTCCGTCCCCTCCCTCCCCTCTAGGAAAACCCAATAGGCTGGTGCTGGGGCTAGTTCCCAAGGGGGAGGGGACAGAAGTAGATACGGGCTTCTCTGTATAAGAACACCAAGGGATGACCACAGGGTCAATGTGGTGACACAAAGCTGTGGAAATGATAGAAGTGGAGGCCAGAAGGACTGTCTTTAAGAGACTGACAGCAGGTGGCATGGTATAGGGCATGGACGTACAGAAATGCGGGTGGGTGCATGACCTGGGATGGGCAGTGCAGAAATTCACTCACCTCGGGGAGGCTCTCCTAAGGAATGCTGATTCAGCAAGTCTGGGGCGTGGGCCAGGAATTCCCATTTTTAAGAAGCCCTCCCCTCCCCCCAACAAGGTGATTCTGACTTAAGTGGCCCTACGACCTTGCTTTTGAGAATGCCTCAAACGTTGGCCCGCTTCTTGGCCTTGATCCTCAGTCTCCTCAGCTGTCTCTCACCAGCTTGGGCCTGAAAGCTTATTTCATCCCTGCATTGAGATGTGGCTAACCAGATCCCTGGCAGCTGGACCAGGGGCGGCGGGGCTTTCAGGCGCGCCCCACAGCAGCGCGCAGCCGCCAGGGGTCGCCAGAGGCCTCGGCTCGTGCGCTCGGGCTCCTCCGCCCGCGGACGCCGCGCCCGAGCGAGCCTGCGAGCGAGCGGAGCCAGAGCGCTGCGGGCTCACAAAGCGTCAGGACTCTGGGCGGCGGGTAGCAGGAGCGCAGGGGAGCGAGCCCGCCGATCAGCTTTCTCGGCGACCGCGCCACAGGAGCTTGAGCAACTCGGACGCGGGGACCCGGGCCGGGCCCCAAGGTACGTGTCCCACAGAACCCCGCGCCCCAACTTGGCGTACTTGGGACCTCCCCGCGGCCACCTGGGGGCTGGCGGGTCAGGGCCTGGGGCTATCTCCGCGCGCCCCTCTTTCCCCGAGGCGGCAGGGCGGGCGAGGGGAGACCCCCCCACCCCACCCCATTCAACCGGAGCCCGGACTGCTGCTCGGAGCCCTCTTCCCTGTCTCCCTACCCCGGGGCTCTGTGCACCGTCTCTGGGAGTGCCGCTTGCGGATCGAGGGCTCTCCGTTTTTTGGGGAGGGTTACTGAAGCCCCTATCCGAGAGTGGCGGCCAGTGGGGTACCCGGAGAATAGATGACAAGGTCCTCTGTAGTTTGATAGCGGCCCCTAATTTGTGACGCAGCCTCTTCATTTGTAACTGAGCCCCCCATTCATGAGCGGGGTCCCTAGGTCTGTAGATCCGCCCCCGGTGTGCGAGGGCTGACCCTGTCCCTGCTGGGAGATCCCCCCACGCCGACAGCGGGGGCCGGTGGCGGAGGCGCTCAGTCCTGGGCGCCCGGTGCGGGGCTCGTCACCGCCCTGGCCTCCCGCTCACCGCCCCCGCTTGCCCCTGCCCCGCAGATGCCAGCGATCGTGGTGCTCGCGGCGGCCGCCGCGGCGTGGTGCTTCCTCCAGGTCGAGAGCCGGCACCTGGACGCGCTCGCAGGAGGCGCGGGCCCCAACAACGGCAATTTCCTGGACAATGACCAGTGGCTGAGCACAGTCTCCCAGTACGACCGGGACAAGTACTGGAACCGCTTTCGAGACGTGAGTACAGCCGCCGCCGGGCCCTGCGGGGGGCGGGGGAGCCTCTCAGAGGGGGCCTCTGAAGTAGGTGGGGAGGGCACTGGGGCAGACTTCGCCGGCAGCTTGTCGGTTCGGGGTTCCTGGGCTTCATCTTGCCTGAGAGGAACTTTAAAGAGAACTTCGAAGGCTTGATGCTCTCCGCCTGTTACCTGTGGCCCAGGTGTGTGTATTTGTCGGACTGGGGGAGGTGACTGTACTAAACATGGTGTAAATAGCGAGCAGCTGCGGAGGGAGAGGCTCCTTAAGCTTCTGAGATCTCCTAACGCTGATGGTTGACTTTGCCAAGCCCCCTGGAAGACCTCCCTGGGCAGAGGCTATTTAGACCATCTCTAGGGTGTTCCAGAAGAATGCCTGCTGCAGAGGTTAGGTTTGGGGTGAGCCCAGCTCACTGAGTAGGGAGGCAGGTGTCCCAGGAGGTTCGGAGAGTCATGGCCACAGGCCTGATGAAATGTTGGGTGGGAGCATGGTGGTTTTGACCCTTGGCGTCTTTAGGGGAAGAGAAAAGGAGGAGGCACCTCGTGGAGTTGGTCCACCGCCATGAGGGGGAGCCTGGGTGGCAGAGGATTGCTCCTCTGAGGGAGCTGTAGGAGGGGAGAAAGTTATTCCTGGGCACCCAGAGGCAATCTGCTGCCTGTTTCTGCCTCAGGCTGACTGCGGCTCCCCAGGTACGCCCCAGAGGATGCTGGACGAGAGGTACCTGACACAGTCTTTCCAGCAGATGGCATTCCCTCTGTGCTGTGGGAGCTGCTGCCAGCTCTTTCAAAGGCCGCCCCAGGTGGCTGGGGCTTCTCGCTTCTAGGGGACTAGGAAAAACTTTGATGATACTTAACATCGGGAACTCCTGCCTTTGGGAGAGACCCATACCACCGAGCCCCTGTTCTTGGCACAGGGCTCCCTGAGGTGGGAGATGTGTGCAAGTCACCTCCTACACTGGATTCCTCTTAGCCCCATGCCCGGCATGCCCAGTCCTTGCAGAGGGAGGGCCTGAGGAATCCAGTGAATCCAGGTGTCTTCTAGGACTTTCTAAAGAGCACCTCTCCAGGTCCCATTCCACAGGAGCCTAGGCCTTGAGCGGGGGCTTACTTATCTCTCTTCTCTCTGTTCCTCTTCCCTCTCCCTCTAGTTGATGGTCTTTTCCTTGAAAGAGGCTATTAAACACTTTCATTGAACAAGTTATTTGAGGGCTTATTGCTCCCCCCACCACCCTGCACCATGAGATCCCTGCCACACGTCCTCCTGTCCCTGATCTAGTCTGTTAACCATCTTCGATCCCCTTTTGGTTCCGCTCCAAGGAGCCCTGCACTGACTGCCTTTGCCTGCAGCTGAAAAAGATGGCCAAGATGCCCAAAAGATGCCCCAAGGAAGCTTCCATTCCCAGACTCATATAGGATAGGAACTATCTTGCTTTTTTCTTTCTTTTGCCATTACATTTTAGATAGAGTTGAGGAACAGGGCGGATGCTTAACTCGGCTGGAGCTGGAGAATTGGGCCAGGTGTGGAGGACAAGGGCCCCTTTGCACACGCCTTGGTTTGCGTGGCAGCTGGGTCAGATGGAAAGCGGCTGTGCTTGTTGGTCTTTGGGTATGGAAAGGTTTACTCTGCTTTTGTGTCTGTTCAAGGTTTTCTAGTCTTGGTGCATCATAAATATGGAATTATTCTTGTTTCCCATTCAGATTTAAATTTTGAAAGATTGGGCTTTTCTTCACTTCTCATCTTCCTTGCAAATGGTGACATTTTAAATTCTTGGATCAGTGTTTTTATTGATACAAACCCGGCTGATCATGAAGCTCTCACCTGGGGTGCTTGTTAAATTGTAGCACCCACACTCACCCCTTCCTCCTCAGAAATTCTGATTCTATAGTTCTGGGATAAGTGCTGGGAATCCATATTTTAAATGAACATTCTAGGTAATTCTTAGAATGATTAGGAAGTTCCGCCTTGTAAAAATGTCCAAAGCTTAACAGAAAGAGAAAAGCCTCTATGTTCAAATGCACTGCTTTTTTGTTTCTGGAGCAATTTTAGGTGTTAAACTAATATTTTTAGCAGCATATATTCTTTTAAAATGATAACTTAATCCAGCATACTATTTTAAAAACATCCATAATGCTTCAAAATCACAAATATCTTCAATCATCAACCATTTTATATGCTTCCTGGAGTCTTCTGTTGCTAGCTGTGGGTCAGACATAATTTAATGCCATTAGCCTCTTTAAAGTGTTGTGAAATGCAAACTAGATGCTCTTTTAGGCCAAGTCTAAGTGTCTTCAGTTGGGCCTTTTACTTGAAATGAACACAGAGCCTCGGTCCCCTGGGACCAAGGACTAAAATTTGCTTCCTACAGGAGCCAGTAGTTCAGTGGACAGTGTAAAGCCCCAGCTAATGGTGTCATTGCTCAGCCAGCCTGGTCATTTTTCACTGAGCCAGGCCTTACTTGAGGTTAGCAAAGCTCAGCTTCTCTGCTGTTGTTTTTGAGTTTTGTGGAAACCACTGATAACTTTGAAAGACCAAGCCCTGAGGTTGTTACGATGCTTGGTTTTGAAAGTCACCGTGAAAGAAAACTTCTTGCCTTTCCCCTGACTTGTCACTTTTTTTGCATTTGGGGGAGAGATATTTAGAAGGGATTTTTGAACTTGTGAAACTGAAAACTAAGGGCTCCTTTTAGAGAGTTGATGATACCCATTGGCGGTGGTTATTGGCTAAATTTGAAATGGAAATGGTGGCGGGCCGTGTGCTCCGTGTTCCCCTGCCTGTTGAGTGTGCCAGAGATGACCTGATAGCCCCTACTTAATGCTTTGAAGAGGTCCTGTTGTTCTAGATACACAAATAATCTGTCGCCTTCTTTCTAGAAGTCAGACTTTCACAACTACTCTGTGGCTTGTTGCCTGGAGCAATGGAGCCAGGAGGAATATAACAACATACAGGTGCTTGCTCCTAAGTGTACTGGTGGCCTGTTAGTTTGGTCATTATTCTTTTATAAAGACTAGCAGTTGGGATGTTTTGGCCAGATGGATACCCAAACTTTTGCACAGATATAGTATTAAGAAGGAGAAGATAAAGAAGGCAGGTGTTTGTTTTAAGTTGTACAGTAATTTCCCACCTCCAGCTGCTCCAACTGGCGTGCAGAGTTAAAATCCTCTGTGGTTTGAGGTTGAGGGGTCAGGATGCCACAACCATTTTCCTGACTTTTTTCTGAATCTCATTTGGCTTTGCATAACCATTACTATAAGGAAATTTCCTCTGTTAATTCCTACATTCATTTGTACGTCCATTCATTCCAGCAAATATTTGACTGTCTACCATGTGCTAGGCAGTGGCCAAAAGGGTGAGCAAGTTAAATAAATGTGATCTCTTCTCTCAGGTAACCACTTGTCTACTGGATGAAATCCTTTAACTTACGCTGTCAATATTTCTTTCTTATTGTTATTTTTTTAAAGTTTTTTTCTTATAAAGGTAATATGTGCTGGTTGAAATTAAAAAAAAAAGAAAACATTGCAGAAATAGATGATACCTAACATTTATCCAGCACTTAGTGTGCCAGGCATTGTTTAAGGTACTTTACATATAGTATCTCATTTAATATTCATAACGATTCTGGGAGAGAAGTACTGTTGTTCTTATTTACTGGGAGGTGAAGTCTCTTGCCCACAGAGCTAGGCTGTGGAGCAGCTGGACTGGACCCAGGCAGTCTGACTCTAGACTCTTGCGAGATTGTTGCACTGCAGCCCACCAAGAGCGGAGTGGGTTTTGGCTGTGAGCCTCCACTGGTATCACACTGCAAGTCTTTGCTGCTTTATGTCTGAGGGAAATCAGTGAAGAGCCTTAGGTTGAGACAGAGTGGAGTGGGAAGCCAGGCGCTGGACACAGCTTATTGTCGGGGTCACATCAGGCCTTATCTTCTGCTAATAATGAGCTTCTGATTTGATTAAAATAATATTGTTGCTTACACCAAACATGACATTTTCTTTCTTTTGCACTCATGAAACTAGCCCTGACATTTAACTCCGGGATAATTACCTTTAGCAGGCCCGAAGACTCAAGTGTTGCCTTGGCTGGCATTTATCTTACTCCGGAGTGACCTGAGTTTGTAATTCTAATGAGATCGCAGGACCAGCCCACGTGCTTTTTCTTCTTGTGCACACGCTGTGGGATTTGGTGGTCTCTGTAGCAGAACTGGGGTGGCAGTGAGCATCTGATCTGCTCATTTGATCTTAACGTCTCAGCTATAATGAGTTTCAAGGGCAAGTGAGGCTTGTTGACAGAATGGTGGCTGGCTTAGTCGGTGGGGTTGGTGACAAGAGAGGTGATGTGGCTTAGTGGATCAGTCATTAATCTGTCACCACAGAAACTTGGCTTGTAATAGAGAGTAGCAGAAAATCATTTTGATTAAACAGGTTCAAGGAGAATTAAATGAGTTTGTCATCCTGACTTTCTTTAATGAACCCACTATCTTAAATCCCCTGTACTAGACGACCACTGATAGAAATAATTATTTCACAGGAATCATTATAAAGGGACAGTTTAAAAGTTGATAGCCCTAAGACCATTCTTGTATTTTCTGTCCTAACCTTCAGTTTGCCCTTGTAGACAGAACCTAGTTTTTGCCTGGCAAGGATGGCAGAGCTTTTGCCCCAGTTGACCCTCCCAGGCTGAGTTCCCCTGTGTCTCCTGGGCCTCCCAACCCTGCCTCCACAGTGCTTCAGCAGAGCTGGATTGCTAGGAGGATAAGTACTCTCCTGTATACTGATGAGATTATTGTCAAAAGCAAGAACTGGTCCCAAATGGATCATCAGACCTGTACCCCTCCCCTGGAAGAGTGGGACATAAACATTAGCTCAACTATTTGATCTCGCTTGGGGAGACACAGTAATGTTAGTAGTTAAATATTTTATAATAAATCATTTCTTACTCGTTTACTCATTGTATATTTCAAACCAAACACACTCAATATCTAAACATGAACA